CGCCCGCCTCTGCCCTCTCTCTGCAGGATCTACTGGGGCTGTTTCTACTTTTTCCCCTGGCTGCGCATGTGGCGGAGGGAGCGGAGGTGAGGGGGCTGCGATACCGCGGGCCAGCCCCAGGCATGGACGAGACTCAGTCTCTGAGGACCCATCGGGGGGATTCCGGTAGCTCCTGCCCCGCCTCATGCCAGTGTCGGGTCGCCCCACAGCTCGGCGCACCCCGGGGAGCAGAAGCTGGAGCCTCTGCGAGGCCTGATGAGCTGTCTGTCCAGCGGCCTGGGCCCTGCTCCCCAGCGCTCGGGTCGTAGCCTCCCCCGCCGCAGCCCCACCGCCGCTGCCCAGCCAGCCAGTGCATTAAAGATTTAAACCGAAGCCCACCGTACTGACCTCCTGACTCTGCCGCCGCTGTCGCCATTCGAGCCGAGCGCCCCTCCCCACACTGGCTCTGTTCCGTACTGACAGGGCGTCCCTCCCTAAAAGGGTGCCCTTCCACGTCAAAGCCCCTCATCAGTGTCAGGCCTCCTGTTACTATCAATGACTGTCTCCCCCAACCCCATGCCCCAAAAACCCATACTGTGAATAGCCTATATGAAGAGAACTAAATCCTGCCTGTTACTCCCTTCCTCCGAGCCAGGACTTTGCCAACTGTCTGAAGAATCTTCTCTGCTGGGAGTGTATCTCAAACATTTTAAGCAGAGGTGTAGGATGCAGGCTGTAAATGAGAAGAGGGGGAGATTCCTAGAAGCTGCCTGCCACAGAGGAGGGACTTGGGTTGGTGACCTTTCCTACAGTTCATACCCCAACTTTTGGCTCCTCCAGTCTGATCCCAAGTTTAGAGATCCTTGGCATCAGCCTACCTAGCAGTTCTTGCTCCCTCCCTAGGAGAGTCCAAGGGCCACTGCTCTCTGCCGCCCCCTTCTGTCACCCAATCAGTCTGGGACCCACTAACTCAAGTGATGAGAATCAGAGGCTGCTATGTGGGCCTACCTTCAGTTAGGGACTGGACCCAGCACCAGAAAGGGCACCACAAGATTAAGTTAAAGAAAGAGACAGCCCAGTTTCTGGCTGGGGCCAAAGCTTTCAGCCTGCAGCTACCCCTGCTACTGCAGATTTTGGCTAGGGAGAAGACTTGGTCTTAAAGAGGAGAGGTGGGTGCACACCCAGAAGCATTTGCTTTCTGCCTTCCGAAGGCCTCTGGACCAACAAGTCCAGGAAAGACCAGAAAGTATGTATCGCACAGCCAACTGATGGAGAAGGTCTTTGATAAGACCGAGGAACCTTGGAGATTTCCTTGGGATTTCCTCAGTGGCTACACCCAAGCCTTGGAGCGCAAGAGAAAGGCCTAAGCCCTATCCCAAGAGAAAGCCTACTCCATAGAGAGTGGCTGACCCTACAACAGATGACTGCAACAAGATAAGGGCTGGATTACTGCTTTATGACTTAGTTTATGTTTCAAATATAGAGCAGGACTTGCAGATTGAGATCCCTGGACCAGGAGTGGGAAATTCTTCAAGGAGCCAGGGGCACTGAACTTGGCAGCATACCCCCACCCTAGGCAGTTCCCAGCTTCCTGGAAAGGACTGGATAAAGATGAATAGGAGCTTTGCATTGAGGGAGGGGGTAAAGAACAGCTGGGTATGGGATTAGGAGAGAAGTGGCTATAGCTGGAGGGTGGGATGCAGGGGGGTATAGGAGTTGGACATGAGGGTGTGACTGAACCTGGGTAGGGAGGGGGGATGTTCCTCCAGGCCCAGGAAAGGGCTGGAATTTGAGTAGAACAAAGATGTAATTGAGTACTTGAGTCTGATGTCTTCAACAAGTCAGGGACTGGATCTGGAGACCCCAGGCCCCTGCTGGCAAGAGGTTGGCATTCCTGGAACAGGACTAGACAAAAACAGGAAGGTAAGATTCATTGGGCCTTTTACCTGTTTTGACAACAGTAACCTAGCACCAAAGAGCTTTTATCTTCCCTCCTTATCTACCCCACCTTTCCTCCTTGTCTCATCATCCTGGGGAAAGCTGCCACACCTCAGCATCTCCAAAGCACCCTCAATATTACCAAAAAGGGCCTTCCCCCAGCTTCTCTGAATGTGGCTGGCCTCAGCCAAGACCCATCCTCAGCCAGAAGAGCCTGCTCTAGGAACGCATTCCCATCAGTTTCTCCTGATAAGACAGTCAGGTCAGGCCAGGAAGTGGGGAGGAGAAGATGAAGGCAAGCTGGTGCTCGCCTGCCCGCTGCTCCCACCCCACCCAGAACTCCCCTATCAGAATCTGTGTGTGCTAGTGTGAATTTGCTTGTGATTGGATGACTGTGAAAACACAACTGGGTGGGATTGGGACTTTGAGTATAACTGGGGCTATATAATTTTGTCTATGGTTGTCTGATCACGAGTATGACTTTGTGAGGTTGATCGAGTGATTGAGGAGTGACTTCGAATGTGTGGCTATGTATATTTGAGTGTGAATGTCTATCATTAGAGGTTGCTGTGGATGCTTGACTGCCCTTACTCACTGTTCTATCAGTCCCTACATCACACACTAATCCTTCCCTCAGCTTCACTGCCCAGAGCTTAGGAACACATGGGAAATGGCTGTCCTAGATGAGGAAGGAATCTGTGGCAACAGACCAAGAATTAGGGCCCAGGAATGTCACAGGATACACAATACATCTCCAACCACCTCTGACTCACCTAGTGCCCCAGGTAAAAGGCACCCAGATAAAAGGTAGGGGAGGAGGAGAGAGAGAGAAGGAAGAGTCTAGGCTGAGCAAACATGAAGGGGCCCTCAACCTTCTGCAGTCTCCTGCTCCTGTCATTGCTCCTGAGCCCAGACCCTACAGCAGGTGAGTACTTGGGGGTATAGAAAGCTGGGGGTCTGGGTGAATGGGATGAAGTTGAAAAGAACCAGGAAATCCAACCTAACCTCCAGCTGTCTGGCAGAGAGGTTCTTGGTCAGGATCCCTCTGAACACATGGCCCTGTTGCCCTCTAGCATTCCTACTGCCACCCAGCACTGCCTGCTGTACTCAGCTCTACCGAAAACCACTCTCATACAAGCTACTGAGGAAGGTCATCCGGGTGGAACTGCAGGAGGCTGATGGGGACTGTCATCTCCAGGCTTTCGTGTGAGCTCCCACCCCTGACACCCCTGACTCTGACCTCAGTCCCAACCCCTAATGCTGATCCCAACCCCAGCCCTAACTGCTAATTCTGATGCCAACTCAGGTTTTCATCTGGTCCTTGCTCCTAACCCCTGGACCCTAATCTCATCCCCAAGCTATGGCCATAGCTTTGTACCTTTCTCTACCCAGGCTTCACCTGGCTCAACGCAGCATCTGCATCCACCCCCAGAACCCCAGCCTGTCACAGTGGTTTGAGCACCAAGAGAGAAAGCTCCACGGGACTCTGCCCAACCTGAATTTTGGGATGCTAAGGAAAATGGGCTGAAGCCCCCAATAGCCAAATAATAAAGCAGCATTGGACAATAATCTCTAAGTACAATCTCCAAGAACTTCCTTATTCTCTTTATTCACACCTGCGCAACCCCTGCAAGGGGAAAGGCCAAGAGCCAAGGACCCACACACACTCCCCAGGCACCTGCATACATGCATGCAGAGAATATATGTTCCCTGCCTCACAGACACATGGTCACACATGGACACAGATGTACACATTACACACATTCCTCGAGCAGAACTCCAACTCTGGGGTGAAATCAGAGGTACAGGCACCTTTCAGCTGGCAAATTTGAAATACAGGGTCTCACAGAAATGGGCTCCAAACAGAACTTCCAGCTGAGACCCAACCATAGGGATCTACTGTCCATCCATCCACACCAGCAAGACAGAATTATAGGTGGACTCTGCCGAAGCCCTCCTGGGTCCTCTATAGGTTTGGAGCTCCTAAAAGAAGCAGGAGGCAAATCAGGAAAGACAGTAGGACTGGATCTTGGCCCAGACACCCTGAGAATGAAGGAGGTGACTCAGTTCTAAGCTTAACACTCTGAAGATGAGTAGAGGAGCCCAGCTCCGAGGGAGCCTCTTCAACACGCTGAAGATAAGGGAGTGGACCTAGCTGTGGGCCCAGGCACATTAGGAATGAGGGAGGGGACCCAGCACTGATCCAAGACACCTGGAAAAAAAAGGATGAATATCCAGCTCTGAGTCTAATACCCTGGAGGAGTATTAATACTAATACCCTGGAGGGGAGTCCATCTAGGGTCCTTCCTCGGTACCCTGAGAAAAGGGGAAGTGACCCACTTCTTAGCCCAGGGACTCAAGAATGAAAGGCCTAGCCCTCAGCCTAGACATCATTAAAATGAGGAGACCCAACTTGGATTCCCAGCATTTTAAAAATGACTAGGGCAGCCAGCTTTTAATCTGGACACTCAAAATAGGGGCACACATATCCAAGTACAAATCTCCTGGATGTCCTACTCACCTGGACGCCTGTCCACTGGAATCATTGGGGCCAAGAACCCAGGCTTTGGGGATCCATCCTTCCCGCCCCGTCTCATCCTCAGCCTGGGGCATAGAAAGGTAGCTGTCTCTCCAACAATGTGGGGTATCTCAGTCTCCTCCAAAGGGTTTATTAGTAAAGGGTCAGGAGAGGAATCAGTTAAAATCAAGTGGGGCATGGGGGATGGAGGTGTGGGGAGGTAGTTCCAGAATCAGACAGGTTCAGTAGGCAGTCATGAAGGGTGGAGATGAATGTGGTCTATGGACATCAGAGCATTTGTGAGGATCAGAGGCTGAGGGACCGATGGCAGTCACTTACCAGAGCCCCAGTGCCAGGGCTCCAGCCATCAGTCCCAGGAAAGAAAGGATTCCCAAAGACGCCAGCACAGCTACCTGCTCCACAGAGTCCCTGTGATCTAAGAGGGAGGGCCACATGTTACTGAGAGCAAGGCTGACCAAGCTTGGTGTCCCCTTTTCTCTGGGGTTTTCACTCCTTTACAACTCTTGCCCATCTGCCCAAGCTCACCAAGTAGCCGAGGGTGTGGTTGGAGGGAGGGGCTTGGAGGAGCAGGGCTGTCCACCTGAGGCTCCACCTCTGGCTGCATGTGTAGCTGACCCCAAGCTGGTACCTCCTTTGGTACGGTCCCTAAAGGAAGGCAAGACACAATAAGTGTCCATACGCTGGTGGGGATGGGGGTCACGTCCTGCACTCAAGGCCAAGGCCTAGATTGGAAGTCAACCCTTCTAGGAGGAGGAGCCTGATAGGGCATGGCCAGTTCCTAGGGAGCATCGCAAGCTCCAAGCTTGTAGAAGTGGAGCCTGTAACTGCAGGGGTGGAGGCCAAGGGGAAGGACTTAAGCTAAGACAGGGCTGTAGGCAAACAAGAATGAAGTCTGGGACAGTAACTGCGGTGCCTGCATGGGCAAGGCATATGTCACCTGGCTGTCTTTTGGAATTGGTTCAGCTGATAGATGCTTTGGGGTGGGACCTCTGCCCTTTTCTTTGGCTTTGTCTCTCACCAGTGCTCGGAGTTCCCCAGGCCTCCGGGCTCCAGGTGCTCCAGGTGCCAGCATCCAGAAAGTCCCGGGCACTGACTCGTACGGCATGGGGCAGCCCAGCCACAGCATCTGTGATCATCTCCTCCAGTCCAGCTGGCTCCACCTGGGGGTAAACATGACTCATTGTTACCCAGCTTGTAAGTGCAGGGCCTTCCCAGCCACCGTCTGCAAAGAGCACCCCTTGCTCCCAGTCTCATCCTAAAGCCTAGTAGAGCTGTCCAGGTCTCATGTTGGGTGTCTGGTGGGGCTGAGTCTACACCTAGTGTTTGTAAGACAGCAGTAGTGATTACTTAGAGAGGCTGTGGCATCAGGCAGCCTGGGTTCAAATCTTTGGTGAACCACATATTGAATGACCCTTTGGGCCTCTCTGTGACTCAGTTTCTTCATTTGTAAAATAGAGGTGAATATACCTAAACAAAACAATGTATGCAAAAAGTGTAGCCAGGAACCCCACAGGAAGGCAGCACTAAGTAAATATTAGTTATTATCTGATGCTGCTGCTCCCCAGTCCTGATACCAGCCAACCTTTAACATCTCCTGAGATTCTAATTCACTGCTATCCTCAGCTGGGGATATGAGTGTTTGTAGGAGACGTGCCTCTAGGTAAGGCACTCCTTTTCCTAAGAGTTATTTTTAGGCTGGGCACCATGTCTCACACCTGTAATCCCAGCACTTTGGGAGGCCGAGGTGGGCGGATCATGAGGTCATGAGTTCGAGACCAGCCTGGCCAATATGGTGAAACCCCGTCTCTACTAAAAATACAAAAATTAGCCAGGCATGGTGGCAGGCACCTGTAGTCCCAGTTACTCAGGAGGCTGAGGCAGGAGAATTGCTTAAACCCAGGAAACGGAGGTTGCAGTGAGCCGAGATCATGCCACTGCACTCCAGCCTGGGTGACAGAGCGAGACTCCTTCTCAAAAACAAAAAAAAAAAAAAAAAAGAGTGATTATTTTTTTAAAAGCCATTGCTATCTTCCCACAGATGGGCTTCACATCTTAGTTATAGCCCCACAGGACAGACACTCCATTTGTCAGTCACCACTGCAACCCAGCACCCAGTACAAAGCCTGGCCCACAGGGAAGTGTTGGGTCTTCAGTGACCTGCCAGCGCTGGGAAGCTACACAGAACACCCAGGATCATGAAATCAGAGATAGGACCCACAGCCGCGGGTTGGGACGCACTCCAGGCCTCACCGTGGACCAGGCTGGATGCTGTGCCGGACGGTACTGCAAACGGAACTTGAGCAGGAAGTGGGGCTGGCGCGGCCAGGAGGCAGGGTATGTCCAGCTGGCTCGCAGGCGTCGGGGGAAACCTGGTACCGACTCTACCCGCAGGCCCTGGGGTGGGTCAGGGCGCACTAAGGGCGTCAAGACACAAAGTCAGGGTAGGCTATGGGTCCCTGTCACTTCCCTACCACTTTCCAAAGTGTGTGTTTAAAGGAGCCTTAGCCAGACACTCCTGAGAGGGGAGGGGAAATCTTAAACCTGATCATTCATTAGACTCAGACCGGTCATCTGTATTATGAAATGGGCTGAGGCCGGGTGTGGTGGCTCATGCCTGTAATCCCAGCACTTTCGAAGGCCAAGGTGAGAGGTTCACTTGATGCCAGGAGTTTGAGACCAGTGTGGGCAACATAGCAAAACCCTGTCTCCACAAAAAATTTTAAAAATTAGCCAGACATGGTGGCACATGCCTGTAATCCCAGCTACTTGGGAGGTTGAGGTAAGGGGATAGCTTGAGCCCAGGAGTTGGAGGCTGCAGTGAGCCAAGATCACGCCACTGAACTTCATCCAGGCTGGGCACAAAGTAAGACCCTATATCAACAAAAAAAGGAAGAAAAAGAAAAAAAGAAGCCACCTGAGATCTGTGGGTGGGCTTTTGAAATGCTTGTTGAGTGAATAAAAGAGCAATTCTTATTTTCATCCAAGGAAGATGAATTGGCCCAAATTCCAGCTAGAGTTTTAGTGTCCCACTCCCATGCACAGGTCAAGGAAGGAGGGGCTAGCAAGGCAGGACATGACATATGGCTGCATTCAGTACAGGGCCCAGAGCAGGGCCTGCTCTGCGGCTAGGCAGCCAGTCAGGCAGTGTGGGTAGCAGTAGCGGCCTCTAGAGTGTGTGCTGAAATAACCATGCCTCCTGGGCTCTGATCCCTTTGCCTTCTCAGGCTCCACAGGGCCTTCTGTGTGTGAAATGGCGTCTATGTTGGGAGGAAACTGTTTGGGATCTCTGGGAGTGGAGAGATCTGAGTCCATTTGGGGTCTCTGTGGTGGGGGTCTGGGGGAGGTCTAGGGGTGGGTACTCACAGATGCTCTGCAAGCTCACATCCAGCAGGCGTGTGCTGGCGCCCAGTGGGTTCACCTCAGTCACATTAATCCGGTACTGGCTCCAGAACTCAGCCCCGTGGACAACACAGCGGGCAGCACCTAAGGGATCCTGTGGGCATGGCCAGGGCCCTGTGGATGGACTCCTCCTAGAAGGGAGGACATGGTCTTGGGCTCTGAAAATGCCTACTGTGGGACCCAGCTGGAGCCCCCACATGCTCCCTCATGTCCTACCTCTGGCTATCAGCTCCTAGAACTGTCTTCTTCCTGGTGGGGAGGGGGCCGTCTGAAGTCATGAAGGAAAAGAGGGCCTTCTGCCCTCTCTGAGGCTTTCCTCAGAACCTACCTCCCTGCTTCCCACACCCATGTTGTGCCAGCATACCCAAATGTGTAGGCATCCACACCCGATCACGCACACACCTGTAGGAGGTGAGGTAGCGGGTGGGTAAACCGCTGATCTGGCTGGGACTCCAAGTGCAAGAGAAGTTCTCATAGTCAGCTGCTTGGCAGGAGACAACAGGGCGGGCTGGAGGGTCTAGAGGCAGAGGGTACACCTGGAGACTGAGCAGTCCTCAGGTCCTCCTGGTCCCAGAGGGCTTATTCAGGTCCCATACTCCCTCAGGATCCTCTTGTGTCATCACTGCCACCCTCCCCAACTCACAGCCCAGCTGCAGGGTCACTGTGCCCCCAAGTGCACCATCCAGCGTCTGGCAGATGTAGGTGCCCTCATCAGTGCTGTCTGCCTGGGTCAGGACCAGTTCATGCCCTAGCCCAGAGTCAGGTCCCTGGAGCAGCCTTGGCTCCCCGTCCCGAAACCAGGACACTGGGTCCCTGGAAGTAAGATGAGATGACAATGGACAAAGACAAGATGTCAAGCATAAGTCAGACCATGCCACAGCTCTCCATTGGCTTCTAACTGCATTTGCAATAGAACCCAAATTCCTTTTACTGGCTTTCAAAGCCCCTTGTGAGCCAGCCCTTGCCTTCCTTTCCTTCCTCAGCTCCTCTCTGTCTCCCCTCACCCACTGAAAACTCCAGCTACATTGGTCTTCTTTCTATTCCTTGCGAGTATTGAGCTCATTCCCACCTCAGGGCATTTTGCACTAGCTGTTCCCTCTGTCAGGAGCACTTATACCTTAATGTGCGCACGGCTGCCTCCTTCCTGACCTTCAGAAATCAGCTTCAACATTACCTCCTCAGAGAGACGTTTCCTAACTACCAATTAAAAAGTAACCACAGGCCAGGCGCAGTGGCTCACGCCTGTAATCCAGCACTTTGCAAGGCTGAGGCGGGTGGATTACTTTAAATCAGGAGTTCCAAGCCTGATCAACATGGTGAAATCCCGTGTCTACTAAAAATACAAAAAAATTAGCAGGACCTGGTGGTGCGTGCCTGCAATCCCAGCTACTTGGGAGGCTGAGGCAGGAGAATCACTTGAATCCAGGAGGCAGAGGTTGCAGTGAGCCCAGATTGCACCACTGCACTCCAGCCTGGGCAACAGAGTGAGACTGTCTCAAAAAAATAAATAAATAAATAAGGTAACCACTCAGTTGTCCTCTTCAACATCCCTCTCTTTGGCTTTTCTGCCCTGCGGGTATTACTATCTGGCAAGATTCTCCTTTGCTTATTGTCTTCCCCACTAAGATGTAAGCTCCGTGAAGGCAGGCACCTTGCCTGGCATTAGCACTGCTGTATCCCAGAGCCTAGAATAGACCTGGCACTTGGCAGGTACTCAAAACATACCAGCTGAATTTTCTGTAGAATAAGGATGGTTAGAGGGTTAGGACAGATAAGAGAGGTGAGGATTACGGACAGAGCAGGCAAGGATGGGAGGAGTGGGACATGAGGACTAGGCAAAGTCAAGAAAGGGTCATGAGTGTCAGACCAACAGGCAGGGGGCACTTACCCAGCAGTCACTCCAGGACAACACAGCTTCACGGACCTGCCGGGCTGCCCATACTGGACCCCTGTGGAGGGCACTTCTGAGGTGAGGCTCTTCCTTTACCCCCCTCCCCACTTTGTGAGAATGGCAGATAAGAATCAGACTGTTAAAACCTGGGTGGTGGGGGGCTCACTGGATCAAAGCATCATGTTATAATCTGGAGACAGAGGTCAGAGAACATAGTAGAGAGGGGACCTAGGTTGGATGACAGGGGCAGCGGTGGTGTCACAAGTTAGGCATGGGAAGGGGCCACAGTGAGGGTGGCAAGTCACAAGTCAGAGTTGGGGGGTTGTAGAGCAGGGTTCTTCTCACCTGGGGGGCCCCAGGCCTGGGGGCAGGAGGAGGAGGCAGACACCAGGGCTGTAGCCACGGCCACCAGGACCCTGCTCAGCCCTGAGCAGCCGCTGCTCATCTGTGGGGAGAGGTAGAGTCAGAAATCCCCGACCCCTGAGAAGGGAGGCTAAAGCCTGGCTCTTCCTCTCCAAAACTGAGCCTTCCTAGAGAAAAACTGATGCATCAAGTGGGGTAAGGCTGTTAGAAATCACTGGGGGAACTGATCTGAGGTCCCCTTTCCCTCCGTATACCCAGTGCTTTGCATGTGCGCGCACACACACACACGGACACTCACACCCTTCATCTCAGTCCTGGGCTTAGGGCCCAGAACAAAAGCCGGAGGCAACAGACTGTGCCAGCAACTCCCCCTCCACCGCCCTTGGCGCCCACCCCTGGCACCAAGCACTGGCACCAGCTCAGCCACTCCCATTAACCCCTCCAGTCCAGCTGTTGGGAATTCTGGTATTTACCCCCACCTGGTCCAGGGCTTATCACCACCGCTGATTAACCTGGGCAGACCTTATCACCCTGGGGGAAGGCTGTCATCATGGATCTGAGCCCATCTGGCACTCCCACCCTGAGGCCTACCCCTGCTCTGGCTGCCAGGCTTCTCGCCTGAACCTGGCTCCTTGCTCTGGCTACTTGGGCCACTCAGCTGGGCCTGGCTCTGACACTTCGTTGGTCTCCAGTCTGTGAAGCTGGATGGGGCTAGGGTGCAGGCTGGGGCTGTGTAGTTAAGCAGATCCAGATGCCCTGGCTGCTGCCAGAGGCTGGGGGTGGGTGAGGAGCCAGCAGATGGAGATGGAGACAGGGTGGCGGGGAGGGGAGGGGAGGGAAGGGGATGGGAGGCTGAGAGGAACTGGGAGCCTGCAGGAACAGGCATGGGGGCCACAGCACCAAGAGATACTCAGAGATCAGGACTAGGAGGTGATGGGGCAGTGTGGGAAGTGTTGGAAAGACTGGATTGGGGTCGGCGGAAACTCAAAAAGCTAACAGTGTGTCTATATTGCAGGTGGGGGATGCTAGGAGAGAGAGATTCTGGACGAGGGGGAGCAGAAGGAGGAAGGCAGTGGTGAAGTGGATGGAGAACGAAGGGGCAGGCAGGGAAAGGGTTCTGGGTACAAGACCAGAAAAGGAAGAGCACGGACCCTTCAGGAGTAGTAGAGCAGAGCAGGGCCTCCATGTGTCTGTGTGTCTGTCTGAGTGTGTCCAGTTGGCTCACCCCTGGCCACCCAGCCACACTTACCCTGCTTAGCCCCACCCTACCTCGGTGATCCCAGCGGCAGAGTGTCCATGGCCTCCAGGACTTCCTCTCACCAGCTACAGCCCCAGTCTCCTACTCCACTCAGTTCTGGGACCCCAAAGCCATCCCCTCCTTCCCCTTCCCTGCCCCGCCCCCTCTAAGCCCTGGAGCTCCGCTGCCCCTAGCCAGGCCCCCTCCCCGCTTCTGCCTCCTCCCTCCTTCCCTCCCACCCAAGGCTCTGTGAAGGGAAGAGGCCTCCCCCAAGTCTGGAAAGGAAGCCACAGACACAGCCAAGGCCAGCAAGAGGGAAAGGAGGGTGGCTAATACTTATGTCCTTGTCAGTGAGAGATGCCCTGTGTTTTCACACAGCCAGACATAGTCACATTCACACATGGACTCATGACGCACAGTTAACAAAAGGGCATGCCTTTGAACACACGTGGACACAATCAAATGAAAAATCAGATACAAACTCCTCCTCTTTTCACTCCTCACCAAATGTTTCCTTAGGGCACAGCTGGCTGTGCTTCCAGGAGAAAGGAGGCCCCAAGTTGGGGGATATAAGGAGAGGCCAAAGAGTGCAGTTCCCCCTCCCCTGGAAGTTCCAGCCATTTCTCACCTCCCCCTCCACTCTTTGGGCCCCAGCACCAGGAAATGCCTTTGGTCCCTTGGTGCCAGATACACAAGACCCACAGTTACCCTCAGACTTACACACTCTCACATGCGGTCACTCACAGTCACACAGGCACAGCCACACAGCCTCAGACTCAGATACACTTACACATATTCATAAACTCACGCAGTCACACACATACACAGCCGCTACCAGGGCTCACAGCACCGCCTAAAAGCAACTCCTCATCATGGTCTAAGCCCCCTCTCTCAGGGAGCTCTTAGCAGTGGCAGACCTGCATCTCATCACTGTTACAGGCCCCCAACTAGCCAAAGACATCAAGATCAGCAGGGAAGGCAGGCATAGGGGCACAGGGAGAAACAAAAAGACAGGAGAGGCAAAACTGGAAATGCACCCACACAGAGACCAGGGGAACAAAGCTATGAAGAAACACGCAGAGATATCTCTAGTAAGACAGCAACAGGGAGAGAAAACGGCATGTAAGGGAAACTGAGTCAAGCAGGGAAACAGAAAGGAGCAGTAGACCTGATGCTAGGGATTCTTGAGCAGAGGAAGAAGGAGGGGTAGCCACGTGTGTTGTGGGTGTGTCCGTCCATGCTGGACACTTAAGAGAAAGGTCAGTCCCATGGGCTCTTGAAGTAGGTCCCCCAATACATGAATACAGCTGTACTCCCACACGGTTTAAGTTAGGACCCAGTACATACACATAGTCACAAACCTCACTTTTGCTCTGCTACTGCTGAAGTCACACATTGGCACACACAAAGCCAGCCACCCACTCTCATGCTGGCAGACATGGTCTCAAACCCCACAGAGACCTTCCCAAAACACATTCCCTAATGTGGTCACAGTCCCTCTCACACAAACACACAACCCAGTCCCACCAAAAATGTGCATTGACAGATACACACATAATCCCACACTTGCACAGCCACATGCAGCCCCAGCTCCATGCACACTGACACACGCAGTCACATTAGCTGACAGCTGCACCAAGTGACACTCAGAATCGCACACAATGATACTGTCACACAGACACAGACTCACAGGCACACACACACTGACAGTCGTCAGTCACTCTCGGCCTTTCAGATCATACATCACCCTGCCCCGCCCACTCGTGACAAGACTTTGGCGTCTACACCAGGCCTCACCTTCCGCGGCCGCTGCCGCCAGCGCCCTCTGCCCTCGCCCTCTGCCCCGGCCTCTACTCCCTCCCGCCCTGGGCCCCCGCAGTGGGGGCGGCTCCGCCCAGACGCCAATGGAAGGAGAGGAGTGAAATAGGGGGGCTGCTGGCCCATTGGAGACTCCAACTGCCAATCACCTCCACCCCCACCTCCGCCGGACACTTCCTGTCCCGTCCCGGACTGAAGAGGCTGCCGGGGACAGAGTCTGGAGCTGGATTCCTGGGTCTCCGCCTGAAGGCCTACCCACCCTGGAACTGCAGGACTGGAAACAAGAGCCACTGGCCAGGTGATTGGAGAAGCTGAAGGTGCCCCTGACTCCAGATAAGGAAGAAGGAGGGCTGTGTAGGGCAGTGGTTCTCAAAGTTTGCTGGATATTGTGGTTTGAAAACTGCAAAACCCCACCCCATACCAATTAAATCATAATCTCTGGAGGTTGGACCTAGACATCAGTATTGTTTAAAACTTCCCAGATGATTCCAAAATGCAGCCAAATCAGAGATGTAAGGTGTGTCGGGTATATGTATACCTCAAGAAACCAGCCACCCACCCAGGGCTCTCATCTACTCCCCAGTCACGGGAAGCTCGAGGGAAATGTGTGCATACTGTGTCTATCAGATCTTCCAGACCGGAGCAACACGCCCAAGTTCCAGGTACTTCCCCTTCAGGATCTCAGGGAAGAAAGACCCTGGTCTGGAAGGCAGGCAGCCAAGGTTCTCCTGGGCAGGATTCAGTCACTGTCCAGCCTTAGTGTGATTTCCCCACCCACAGGCTTGGTTCCCCTGGGAAAAGAATGAAGGCAAAAACCATTCTGGCCATCCCTGCATCATTCACAATCCCTGCCTTCACCTTAAAATTTGGAGGACCCCAGGTGGCATCAGGTCTGCTGTGTTGCATAGACTGTTGTTCCCACAGCATTGCCAGGGAAACAGGTCCAGAGGGGACAGAATAGACCCCAGGTCACTCTGAGAGCCATACCTTCCTTCCAGGCCCTGGGGTTCCTAACTCTAGCGGTCCCTTCCCTGTCAGAGCTGTTTCTGTTTGTGCAATGATTGGGGCACAAGGGCAGCAGAAGTATATGGTGCCCACACATGTGAGAGTCTGGAGGAGCCAAGGACACAAAGCCACGTACACGCTCCCTACATGCTCTCTACCCGCCCCTTTAGCCCCTGTGGTCTGGAGCAGAGCCAAGCTGCAGCCACTCACAAAGCCAGGGTTCTGGCCAGCAGCCCAGGATCTGGCCACTGACCACTGGGATCAGGATCTAGCTCACCCGCTCCCCGTCAAACCCTCAGGCCCAGGCTTGGAGCTGACACCCTAGGTGTGGTGGCAAAGGGGGCTCTGGCCTTCCCAAAGCCTCAGCCACAACCAAGACACAAGATTTTAAAACAGTTTCCTAAACTGGGATACTGTCATTACACCAAGAGTAAGAGAATCTATAGGCTAGATGTAATACTGAATATTAATTTTGTTCAGAAATTTGGGTGGAATTTTTGCATCAAGATTTTACACATTTGTAAACAAAGAAAAGTTGTAGCCGGAGCTATGCCTTTAGCTTTTAACCCTGTATCTCTGAAGGTTCACACTCCTCTGATACTAGAGTATGTGATTAAAGTTTGAGATGCACAGTTTTATTAATGCTATATCTGCCCAAATTCCAGGCCAGGATTCAAGGCCCTTTCTGCTTAATTCAGCAAGACTGTTGAAAAAAAAAAAAAAAGGACTCAAGGCCCTGTGGTCGGCATGGTCAGGCGATGGTTGCTGTCTCCCTGTCCTTCTGCCCCAGGCTGTAATGAACATCAGGAAGTGCCCTTAGTCTCTCCGCAGCCTGGAAAAGGGACAGGGAGCAATTAAGGAGGATAAGGGCTGGGCTGCCAAGAATGGTGGTATGGACTTCTTTTCTTCTTTTTCTTTTTTTTTGAGACAAGGTCTCGCTCTGTTACCCAGGCTGGAATGCTGTCATGCCATGATCATAGCTCACTGCAGCCTCAAACTCCTGGGCCCAAGTGATCCTATCTCAGCCTCCCAAGTATCTGGGACCACAGGTATATGCCACCACACCTGGCTAACTTTTTAAATTTTTTTTTGTAGAGACAAGGTCTTCCTATGTTTCCCAGGCTAGTCTTGAACTTCTGGGCTCAAGCAATCCTCCCATCTTGACCTCCCAAAGTGCTGGGATTAAGGCGTGAGCCACCACACCTGGCCAATGGTATGGAGTTCTGGGTGCTCAGAAGATACTTTGCTGGATATTGTGGTTTGAAATATGAATATGAAATATGAATGCCACAGGCCCACTGGGGGTGGGCCTGTGGAATTGTGAGACTGGTGATAAGGACTGCTGGAGCCTCCAGGGGATGAAAGAGTTGAGCAGCTCCTGAGTCCCAAGGAATGCCCAGGTTGTTATGGGAACTATCAGGGTCATGACTGTTGGGATCCCTGGAGGAATCAGGAGAGAAAGGAGATCTGAGGACCATACTCTCCTTCCAGGCCCTAGGGCTCCTAACTTTGGCAGTGCCTTCCCTGCCAGAGCTGTTTTCTGCCTTATGCAATGATTGGAGCACAAGGGCAACAGAAGTATCAGGTGCCTGCACATACTGCATGTGAGAGTCTGGAGAAGCCAGACTGCTCTGAGTCCTGACCTGCTCAGGGGTGAGGTCCCTCTGAGCCTGAGCAAGCATTTCGTAGCCAACCATGAATTTCCGGACAGTGGCAGAGCGCAGGAGCGGAGGGTAGTAATGAGCGTGCAGCTGCCAGTGGTCCCAGTTGGCCCCGGCCTCGGATCCTGTGGGAGCCCCTGACAGAAAGAAGAGAGATAATGGGGAGAGAGAGCCCTTTTTCAGTTATCCAGCTTAGCCCCTACCCCCAAACCCAGCCAGGTGTCTGAAAACTACATCTCCCAGGATCCCTGCCTGAGAAGAGCTGGCAGGAGATTAGAAAGCATATTGGAGACATATTTTCACCAAGTTTGCTGCTCCACCCTCAGTCCCAGCATCTCTGCTCTTGCCACACCCCCCAGCAACTGTTTTAAGGCTTGCTCCTTTGGGGTTGCAGTTCACTGGGTTGGGCCCCAGGCCCAGAAATAGTGTTGGGGCTAGATATAGGTACTTGAAAAGCCTCACCATGCCAGCCCATGGAGTAGGGAAAGGACGTCTCAAAGAGGTTGTCGTACTTGGTCAAGAGCTTCTTCATGATGGAGGCTAGATCTGGAATCAGAGCCTGACTCTCAGCCTGGGGTCCAGATGCTGAACCTACTGGGAGCAACCCCCATCCAGTGCCTAGCCCCAGGATCCTACTTGGGAGACTGACCATCACGCTCAGCAGGGGTCAGCTCAGGTAGCCGCTGCACATGCCGACGGGGCAGCAGCAGTGTCTGGTAGGGCCATGTTGCCCAGAAGGGGACCAGTACTAACCAGTGCTCACTGGTTAGGACCAGACGTTCCTAGGCAGGCAGAATGGATAGGAAGTCATCAAGATGACATAAGAGCTGGGGTGGGGTCAGCAAATAGGCAGGGGAAGCAGAAGAAAAGAATGTGCCCAGAATCTGATGCCTTCTCACCACCTCCACCACTAACC